AAAAAAAAAAAAAAAAAACAGCTGACAATTGCCCAAAACCCCTCTAAAACCATCCAAAACCTAAACAGACCAGTCTAATCTGCTTGGACATGCTTGGAGTCCAGCAAACCAATTTGGGCTCCAGTGGGATCAATGCTATAATGCACAGTTTTTCCCATGCACTGGAATTGAATCTACATGCTTCAGATTCTGAGAATACCACGTCAATTGTGATGCATTGATACAAAAATATTCAGTAGAAAAGGATCACTTTAAAAAGAAATATCAGTTTCTCAGCCTAATCTCTATGACCTACGAAGCATGATTTTTTTTTCCTGTTGTCGGTGCAGTCTGCATCCTGCAGGACCCGTGTGATATGGTGCTGGAGGAGGTGGACTCAGACTGGGAGGCCCAGCAGAGGGAGCAGGGCTCGGGGCAGGACGTCCAGGCTGAGGAGCAGGTGCCACAGGAGGGCTCATCCCTGCTGCAGGTGCTGCCCAATATCCTGCCGCACATGCTGGCCATGCAGGAGCAGGAGGACGCAGAGACCCAGACTGAGCGCTGGATGCCTCTCATTGAGAGCATCAAGAAGGAAGCAGAGGAGATTGCCATAGCAAACATAGAGGAGAGGTGAGAGCCAATGGTTTGGATCCCAGTGACCTTGTGGTGGATTTAACTATGTGAGGCCTGAAATATGAAATAATATTTAGAAAAATCTCAATGATGTCATTTGAAATAGAACTGTTTATTGAATCTTTAGTCATAATCTAATTTTTTTTTTAATTTGTTTTTTTCATATTTGATACCGCAGGCTTTTATGGCTCATGTAGTGTGATATAGGAGAATATAAAGCTCATAAGAGGAAAAAACACCTCAATTTTATTCTCAAACTGAGCAAAAAATATGCCGTTTGGTTCAGTTGCTGAAATTTATAAGGCAAAAGGTTAAATGAAATTCTGAAAGCTTGTAATGTAAATCAATGAAACTGTTTATTGAATCTTTAGTCATAATCTAATTTTTTTTTTTTATTGTTTTTTTTTCATATTTGATACCGCAGGCTTTTATGGCTCATGTAGTGTGATATAGGAGAATATAAAGCTCATAAGAGGAAAAAACACCTCAATTTTATTCTCAAACTGAGCAAAAAATATGCCGTTTGGTTCAGTTGCTGAAATTTATAAGGCAAAAGGTTAAATGAAATTCTGAAAGCTTGTAATGTAAATCAATGAAATCTTTGCTACAGTATAGGAGACTACTTACATAAAATACATATAAATATCAGATGTCACTCTGTCTCTCCCTATAATAAGTCTCTGTAGTTTTTATTGTGGAGGCAAAACATAATTCAATGCAATACAATGATGACTGAGACATGAATTTAACATGATTTTTCTAAAAAAAATAATTGTATGGATAATCAAGTAAACCTAAGTTGCTTCAGTCCAATAAGTGTTCATCTTGAAATATTACTAACAATACAAAAGTTATTCTCACACTTGCGTATTAAAATCAGTAAAGACACGTGAACCACAACCTGATGGTGGATATTGTTACACTAAAAGGCTTTTTACTTGTGAAGTATAAATTAGCAGATGATTGGTTTTCCTCAAAGTTTTGATCATTTTGATCATTTAGAGGCCTTAGACATTTGTACATCAAATACAGTGACTTTATATAAAAGGTTTTATAGGGTTAATAAGGGCTAGATTATATTCTATACTTTTAATGTTTTTCAAGGTTTATTGCACCAAAACCAGTCGTAGTTTAGTTTTTCACCCTCTCTCTGACCCTCAGAGTTAAATAGTCCCTGTTGCTACTGTACCTTTAAGACTTGACCTTGATTAAAGAAATGGTTAACCCAAAAATGAAAATTCACAACCAAACAAAACTTTCCAGTTTGAGTATGCTGAATGGCATTTAAAGGGGAAGATCTTTAGTCAATAACAACCACAACAAAGCTATATGACTTGGAAAAAAATATGCATATGACTTGAAAAACCTGTGCATTAGTGCAGTGACACCTTAGTTTTAATCTCAAACTGAGCAAAAACTATGCAGTTTGGTTCAGTTGCTGATATTTGTTTACAAGGCCAAAAACTAGTGCAATGACACACACACACACACACACACATATGTATGTATATATATACATGTGTGTGTGTGTGTGTGTGTGTGTGTGTGTGTAGACTTCAGCAGGAGTGTGTGGAAGCGGCTCGTATAGCAGAGGATCTGGCCCGGCAGGCTGCAGAATTGGCCGTCAGACAGCTGGAGGAAGAGCAAACCACACAGATCATCATCGACACGAAAACTGAAGAGCTGGACAATGAGGATCAGTAAGTCACAAACACACCACAAACTCAGAGAGGAATTGAGTTCATGCCCTGTTCTGTGTTTGTTAAGACTGAGATCTGGGGTGTGATAAACCACAAAGTGGCTACTAAAGTAGTCACTTTTGCGACAAGTGCGCTGTGTCTCTATATCTTTCACACACACAGACACACACATCAACACACTTACAGTGTTCAGAATTCACCTGTTCACTGTTTGTTTTACAAAGACTGCCAAATATCCAGGAGGAAGAGAATGAAGAAGATCCGGAGTAAGTGTCTTCCCTCCCTTCCGCTCTCACTCCTTGCTTTCTGCCAGGGTCCAAAATTAACACTCACCAAATAACAAAAACAGTAACAATAGTCTTTGGCCTAGAATTAGAGCTTATGTCTATTTCTATTAGCTTTGTGGTCATCTATATGCTTCATTACATTACTTTTCATTACATACAGTATATGTGCATATTCCTCATTTTAACCCAAATAACACTACTGTTCAAAAGTTTTGCAAGTACGATTTTATGTTTTTGAAAGAATATGTTCACCAAAAATACAGTAAAAAAAAGTAATATTGTGATATATTATTAAAATTAAAACTAAACTGTAAAATCTAATTTATTCCAGTGATGCAAAGCTGAATTACTCCAGTCTTCAGTGATCCTTCAAAGTTCAAGAGAACAGCATTTATTAGAAATAGATATTTTTTGTAACATTATAAATATCTTTACTGTTAGTTTTGATCAATTTAATTTGTCATTGATGAAAAAAATGTGTTTCTTTCAGGAAAAAAATTAATAAATGAAAATTTACTGACCCCAAATTTTTTAACCGTAGTGTATATATAAAAAAATTATATAATAGCAAAATCATGTCTTGCTTTTTTTTTTCTTTTTTGACAGATGCAGTTTATTAAATGATTTTAAATTATTAAATTAAATTAAAGTATTAAATAAAATCTTATATGATGTAATATGATATAATACGATGTAAATTAAAATGTAATATGATGTAAATTAAATAAAATCTCATATGATGCTGCAAGTGACCCAATGCCCTGTGGGTGTTGGTCACTAATTTGCAGTAAAATAAAAAAAATAAAAAAATTAAAATTGGTGTAGAAACAATTTTCACTTAGAAATTGATATATTTTACAAATAATTACAAAGGCAGGTAACATAAAAGTACATGTGAAGATTTGAAGAAGAAAGACTAAAATAGTATATTCTTGTAAAACATTCACATTTTTACAGTGTATGATTAATAATCCCAAATCTTATATATACTCTATATTTATAGATTTTTTTTAATTATTGCATATTTTTATCTGAACTAACCCTTTAAGGCATTTTAACTTTAAACCGTCGCTTCTGGCCAAAATACCAGTCCATAATCCATAATAATGCCTCCTCCAGTTTTTTTTAATTATTGCAAAATGCACTTTAATGGTTGATTAAAAAAAAAAATGCATGGCTAGTATTACACTTTCCATTCGCAGGTGTGGCAAAAACTTAATTTTGGACTCTGCTTCAAACCCTTCAGTGCTGCAAATTTCCTCACAGCAGAGTGAATGTTACAACTCACAATATGACTGGATGCGAGTTTGTGCTTGCTTCGTTTTACTGCTGTACCGTTACTTTATTCTCCTGCGTGTCAGCTGCTGAAGTGCTGTTTGTCCTCTCCGGCTCGCCATACAGGTTACAGCCGCTCGGTGAAGAGAGTGAGGAGGAGAGAGAGGATAGTAAGATCACAGAGTAAGGCCTTCATCCTCAGAACTAAGCAGCACAGATCTAGCAGCCTGGGCATTACACTACCTGTGTAGTTGACATGACAAATCAAGCAGTGATAGCAGGGTCCTTTAGCAAGGTCCTGTCGCGACATTATACTTCATTAAAGCTGCAACACATGCTATAGCTGCTGTTTATATCTACACAGTCCCCACACTGCCTCTACTGTTCCTGTAAAACTAGAGCATGTACTCCTGAGATAAGTATGAAGCCTTCATACTTTCATGCAATGTTTTATATTGTCTTTAGGTCTGGGCAGTATTATATATCAGATATATATTGATATACAGTACAAACTATCTTAAATAACTTCTCAAGCAATTGTTTTAAAAAGGTAATTATGTATAATCCTAATATTGTGAAATATCTATTTTGTTCATCTATTTTAAAATGTAATTTATTCCTCAGATGCAAAGCTGAGTTTTTCTTTAGTGAAATGTTCTTTAGCGTCACATGATCCTTCAGAAATCATTCTAATGTGCTGATTTGGTGAAACATTTATTATTATTATTATTATCAATGTTGAAAACAGTTGTGATGCTTAATATATCTGTGAAAACCATAAAGCATTCTTTTCACGATTCTTTGAATAGAACGTTTAAAAGAACAGCATTTATTTGAAATAGAAATTATATATAGTATTATCAATGTCTTTACTGACACTTTTGATCAGTCGAATGCGTCCTTGCTGAATAAAAGTATTCATTTATTTTCTTTTTTACTCCAAACATTTGAATGATAATGTATCAGTTTCCACACAAAAAAAAAATAATGTGCAAAAAAATCGGTTTTCAACACTGATGATAGTAATAAAAAAAAATTAAACTGCAAATCAGCATATTAGAATGATTTCTGAAGGATCATGTGACAACGGAGACTGAAAATTCAGCTTAACATTACAGTAATATATTCAAATAGTAAGCAGTTATTTTAACTGTAATAATCTTTCACAATATTACTGTATTTTGATCAAATAAATGCAACCTTGGTGAGCACAAGAGACTTCTTTCAACAACATTTTAAAAAATCGTAATTATTGGAAACTTTTGTCCGATAGTATAACAATTTTTGTATTTTTTTTTATTAGAATAAGCAATTTAGCAAATCTCTTTTGAGTGTTTCAGTCTGTAAAAAGACAAACCATTACAAAAATAGAAGTGTCCCACTTTTGAGTACTTTGTGTTATTTTGGGCATGATGTCAGATGCTTAATTTAGGCTTCATCCTGCTTTACCACGTCACTATAAACCATCCTGTCTGAAAACCAGAACTGCTGATGCCAAAGAAGCTTTTAGGCCGAAGCACTTATGTAGAAGTAGAACGCAGTTTCAGACCTGCTGCTGCTGCTGCGTATTGCAGTGCTGAATTCAGAAAGCCAGAAAGTCATGGAATTAAACTGAAATGTGCACTTTTTATCAACATTTTGCAACCAACTTGACATCCCCTGTAAACAGTGCTGACATGAAAAGGTATGTTAGAATGGCCTACATTATTTTGTGTACATTAAACATAGATTTTACCTACATTACCCCTTATCCCTAGTGAAAAACAAATATACTAAAATGTATTTGAAATACATTTATTTCATGCCAAGTATACTACAAGTACACTTACATATTTATGTACTTAATAAAAATACCCTGCAATTGTACTTTTAGTATACTAAACTGGTATACTTAAAGTCAGCTAAATTGGAACAACTAATTTTGTACTTAATGCGCTGTAATTGTGTGGATGTACAACTAAAGATATACTGAAGTATATTTGGTTCTGCTAAAGTGGAACTATTGCAAGTATACTTCAGTATACTTTAAATATCTTGCATTTGAAGACCGATATTATTCAAAGATCATACAATCCTCATCAATAGTGATATTAAAACACATTTTAGGCATAATATTAAGAAATGTGCATTGTGCACAAGTAAAGTACTCCAAATAAAGTTTAATTATAATTTTTATATCAGTAAGTCTCGAGCGATATGTCAGTTAAATGTGTTAATAGATTTGAATTAAGTAAGAAATAAATGTATTTTAAATATATTACTTGGGATGCTACTCATATTCTACTATAACATCATCTAAGACATGCCACAAAAAGTATTTACTTGTAGAGTTTCATCATGCTAAACCACTACTGGGCTAACAGCTGGGCCACTGAAAAATTAAGTTAGTAGCACTGCTACTTTTAGTTAAAAGTTGACTCTATGTGACAATCTAACCATGCCAGAGGATGTATTACTCCTCTTTCCTTCTTTACAAGCAAAAATAGATTAAAGGAGTATAAAAGTTGAGGTGCTGTTGAGACCAGCATTGTCACCATCATACAGTTTGTTGCATTTGCTGGTTACCATAGTCCTCACCAGGCATTAACTTGGTAAACACCAGAAAAAATTCAAATCTGCTGAACATTTACTCACCCTCAGGCCATCCAAGATGTAGATGAGTTTGTTTCTTTATCTGAGAAATGTATCACTCACCAATGGATCCTCTGCAGTGAATGGGTGCCATCAGAATGAGAGTCCAAACAGCTGATAAAAACATAACAATAATCCACAAATAATCTACACCACTCCAGTCCAACAATTAATGTCTTGTGAAGTGAAAAGCTGCGTGTTTGTAAGAAACAAATCCATCATTAAAGGGTTAGTTCACCCAAAAATAAAAATTAATTTCTGGAGAAAGGAATATTATGGATATAGGACTCATATTTTAGAGTTGTGTGGATTACTTGTGGATTATTGTGATGTTTTTATCAGCTGTTGAATATAGCTTGTGCCAACAGTTGTACACAGACAGTTCCAGGAGCATGAGGTATGAGGTCAGCGTTGCGCATGCGCCAGTGCGTCTCGTGAAAACCAACGTTTGTTTACAGGATCAAAAGAAGCAACGTTTCCTTACTTTAGCAAAGGAAAACCAGTCTCCTCTTGGCTAACAAAATATATATTGTGTGTTTGAGTGGTCCAGACGCTACATTGGTGAGCAAGTGACGTAATGCTCAATTTCTCCAAATCTGTTCTGATGAAGAAACAAACTACATCTACATCTTGGATGGCCTGAGAGTGGTACATTTTCAGCATATTTTCATTTTTGGATGAACTATTCCTGTAACTGTAATCTCTTTATGAAAGACCCTAAAAGACATCATAAATTCATTTTCACTGCAGCTGGATTTAAAAACATCCTTTCATATGAGTACAAATGTAATTGTCTTTCAGAATGATTGATTTTCATAATCCAATAACACGTTCTTGTCAGCTCCTTTGAGTTTTTCCTGGTCAACACTTACATCTGATAGGTGGCTTACCAGCCTCTGATTGACTGGTTGTGTTGCCATGACTAGACTTCTGCTCAAAACCCTTTTCAGGAGCCTGGTGGACGTCTGCCCGGCGGAGCCCTCGCCGCATGAGTCTGAGGTTTCAGATCAGGCACTACAAGCAGATCCGGTCTCACCACCCGTGACCACTCAGCCTCAGCGAGCCACATCTTTACCTCCTGATGCTGACCAGGTAACAATGCTTAAAACATTTTAGCACAGTTCTTCACAGGAAGTTTGGGAAAATATTTAAATGTTTTTGAAAGGAATTGATTTATTTTCACCAAGGCAACTTCTAATTCATCAAAAGCAGCCAAAACGTTATTACCATATTTTCCAGAATATAAGCTGCATGTTTTATCATCGGAAACATGCTGTGATTTATATCGTATAGTGACTTATGCAATGCAAATAATGTCAAGTACACAAAACATGCATGAAGCGCACATTTGGATTTGTGGTGAATGAGAGAAACATGAGAATGTTTATAGTGTTTATCATGTCTGATATGTCTGTATAAATGAAGTGGTAAACTTTGACTAAATGTGATTTTAAATGTAATAATAATGATTTTTAAATTGTCTTAATGTAAATCCAAAAGTAAAACCTTGTGAAAAGGAGCATATTAGGGAACAGAATGAGTAAATGAGTGATCCTCTGCTTCCATCTAGTGGTTATAATTGCAATTTTAAGGAATTTACCATAGAACTATAGTAGTGGTTTTCAATTCCAGTCCTGGGGTACCACTGCTCTGCACATTTTGTGTGTTTTTTTTGTTGTTGTTGTTTGTTTTTTTTTTTGCAATTTGATGTCATTTGATGTTTTGAAGTCTTATTAATGGTTTTGGTGCCAGCTGTGGTCAGATTTCCATAAAACTTTGCATGCTTGTTTAGAATCATCTGTCACATGTGCTCACCTAGTTTCGTGACGTTTCGTGCTTTCATTTAGGATTTATTGGCTTTTGGGTGCATTTGGACACGCCCCTCTTCTAAACAACCCGGTTATAGCTACCCAAAAGGTTAATATTCAAATTTTTTATTTTTTTTTTTATTTTTTTTTTTTTGATAATTATTGATCTAGAGCAGGAATGTCAAACTCAATTCCTCAATTCCACGAAGTGGCCAAACTCTGCGTTTTTTTACGGTCACCTCAGATTGAGCTCTTACATACATGTTCCCAGTTTGGTGAAAATATCTCTTTCCGTTCAAGAGTTATAGGCATTTTAGTAAAAGCAGCTCCGCCCCTTACGAATGTTCTGGCGTCCCGTTGCAATGGTTAGTCAAAAGTTTTACTTTTTTTAATAATTGTTGATATTCAGCCTCCAGAGAATCTTTCTGCACTGGTTTGGTTCCAATCAGGTAAAAACCCTAGGACTAGTTCGCAAAAGTAATAAAACGTAAGACTGCACAAAGCCTTCTTAATTGTCATTGTAGCAAGCAGAGGATTCTTTTAATAGAGATTGTGAATAACATAACTTTTAAGTGAAATAGAAATAGTTATTTGTACAATCATAAATCTTTTCTGTATTTTTTTGATCAATTAAATGCAACCTTGGTGGAAAAAGAACTCTAAGTAGATTTATTTCACACTGTAAAAAAAAAAAAAAAAAAGTGTAAATAAATCAAAGATTATTGTGTTTTACAAGATAATACTATTTTAGCCTTTACACTCCAAAGGTTCGCATTTAATTATATGCTGTTTCTTTGTAATTATTTGTGAAATGTATTAGCAATCTCTAAGTGAAGATTGTCTTAAAGCCATTTTTTAGTGCAGAAACAAAAATTATGTTGGGATTTTTCTGAATGGCAGGCAGCTATATACACTTACAAATGTTAGGGGAAAAGTTTGTTATATTTGTCTTTGCTGTCTTATGTGATGTCATTTTTCATCTTCTGTTGTTACAGGAAGAGGAACCTCCTGAAGAAGGATGTGGAGGTCAGTGAGAACATGAACACACACAAATACACGCACATTATACCTATACAAGAATGAAAGATGTGCCGTATAAAACAGAGTATAAACCAAACGAACATTACTGTATCTAGTGACTGGTTACTGATATCCAGTTTGAACATAACCAATGCAATGTAATGTGAATGTCCAGTAATTGAAGCGGTCTGCCTATCTGCAGTGCCTGCTAGCTGTTCTGGCATAAAGAGCTGGATTCTTCGCATCCCCCATGCTTCCACATGTCTGAGCAGCTTACACCTGCTGAAAAACAATAATGTTCCCCTGCCCAAGATGCCCTCCGATCTCCTGCTGCTATACCAGGAGATATCCCAGCTTCCAAAACAAGCCAACCAGTGCTTCCAGAACGTTATCCATCGCCTCAACATCCTCAAGCCCATGTAGAACTCCTCAGCAGCAGTATGTAGTCTTGGAGTTAGAATCTGTAGCTAGTGGATTTTATTCTTAATACACCCAAGAGACCCACTGTCATCCCAAGCCAAAGTGCCCTAAAATCCAAATCATCCCATGCTTGACACCTATAGACATGATTTTGAAGTGCCCTACAGTTACAGAAAGAAACCAAACCTCCAGCAATCTCTCAGGTGAACTGTCTGTGCTAGATAGCGCTGTGCTGTGCTGTCTGTTATGTGCAAATTATATTTTGCTAATGCAAGTACCAATGTTACTATTGTTCACATTTAAGGTTAGGGCTTTTTCAAAACTCTACCACATAGTGTGCACTATTGACATGAATATTACCTCCAATATTGCATCCTGTTGAGGAGAAATGTACTAGACAATAAAAAAATAAATAATAAATAAAAATAAATAAATGGGTCATATTAATATAGCCGGTAATATTAAATGATAGACATTTCAAAATAAGAGTCCTGGTGTATTTCAGGCTTGTTTATAATTAAAAGTCCTGCATTATGCATAATTGTTTGTTTTTTTCCTTGGTTATTATCGGTAATTTGGTCCGTCTTCGTTTCAGGCTGCAAAGCAACAAAATGTGATTATTTTAAATGGGGGTGATTCTCCATACCCACTGTACCTGTGTGTGTGTGTGTGTGTGTGTGTGTGTGTGTGTGTGTGTATAGACACATATG